ATCACCGAAAAAACAAAATTCGGGATAAGTAGTAACCTTTTAGATATGTAAATAAAGTGCACAGTGCTAAACAAAGTAGACACACCAGATTCTAATATGTAGTAGCTTTGTAAGAAATGCTCTGAAAATGTTCATTTGGAGTTGTTACAGAGATATCTAGTAAATGGCAAAGACCAGACCCCCAGACAAACTCAATAAACAAAATAAGAGCAGTAAAAAGTATGAGTTTCTTCTCTGTGAAAAAAACATCAGCACTGCAGTCTTCAAATAAATACAAGTGTCTGTATAAGCTTAGTTCTTGAATTTACCAAAAGGCTCACGTAGCACATTTTCATCCCAACTACAAATAATTGCATCCAGGGAAAATTTAAGTGGCTCTCATTTTGAAAGTCCTCTGGCACTGCCAAGCACTATCTTTTTTTTGTTTTATTGTATCAAACTCTTATGTTATGTCCTATAAAGTGTCCTAGAGCTAGATGTTCTTCACTTGTGCCAGCCTTTCACTCAAGAATAAAATAAACCAGAAGGGGAGGAGGAGGAGGGGGAAAAGGGAAGTTTGTGGTCTACTTTTCCCAATACCTTGTTTTGTAATTATTAAAAGCATCATAGTCCTTAGACAGCTGCTGACATACAGAAAATAATGTCCTTGAAACTGTTTGTTTCATCATATTTTAAGAATTAATACCTAAGGTCATGTTAATCAGTTTCTGATGTATGTAGTTTTCAAAATGCACTTCAGGGAAGAAAATGCTGGAAATGACTAATAACAACAAAGATATGAACTTTATTTGTTACAAATCTATCTCCAAATATGAACATTATCAAAGGACTTTGCCATCTGAAGTATTTAGGAAGGCTTAAATAAATAATAAATCCCTCATTCAGTGAAATAGAACATCCTCTCGTTCCAAGCAAGAGTTCAAATTTATTAATTTTGTAGCTATATTTTAAAATGAGTGTCAGCCCCTGCTAGATGACTGCATGATAAGTGTCCTGAAACTTCAGGAAAAGGCACTAAATTTTTCACAGCATTTGTGTTTCATTTTCAGTATAATAAAAATATGGTGCCCTTTTAATAATGAATAATAGATCTCCTGGTATGATTTACATGAGTGGATTAAATGTCATGTTTGAAAAGTTGCTGTTTTATTCATATTGAATTTCCCTCAAGTAAAACAAAATGGTACCCAGCTACTGCTATAATATTGCTAGTACCTCGCCACGCTGATACATAAATATTAACCAGTTGATATACTCTTTAAAAATCCTCAGTTCTGCGAACAGTTCTGTCAGCAATGGTATCTTTTCATGCACATGAACAGACTCAGTACTGTTCCAAGTTCCAGGTATGCTGGGGAAAAGTGTAGCACCAGTGCTTACACACTTGTGGAGCTCACACCTCTTTTGCTGAAGTGTCAGTTTTGAAAGGCTCTCACAGAATAAGGATTGATGACAAATGGATGCAGTGAGACCAGGGTTAAAAACCAGTTTAGGGAGCTGAGCCCTGACACAATTGTCCCTGATTCTGTTCAGCAGTGCTGGACTGACTTCCCAGGTGACTGGACAGTGTAATGAATGTTTTCTAAATGTCACTTGAAGGCGGCGTCATTGGCTTATAGTGCCCTTCACAATAGCTGAAAATTTCCTATCTGAACTTCCCATTCTGAATAAAAACTCCTCTTAATAGGCAACATTTTTTCCTAAATAAGTGTTTCAGAAATTGCAAATACTTGAAATAGGAACATATTCCTTAAAGGTTCCTACCCTGTAAGCAAAGTTGGCAATTTTCAACAAAATATTTTGGTCCTGATAATTGAAATTATAGCTGAAAATAGTTTTTTAAAAGAAGAGAAGCATTTTTATCACACTCCAATTTTTATTCCTTTGGAGCCAATTAATAATTTGATTCTGAAAAATAAAGATTTGTTCTTATTGTTGTAAATGTTTCATATAATTAGTTTAATGTCTACTGAACTTAAGAAAAGCCAGACAGGGAAGAAAAAAAAACCAAAAAAAAACCAAAAAAACCCAAGAACTTTCTTTTTCTGAGTGAAATTAAGCTTTTGCATACTGCAACTCATTCAAGCCATCATTAAGGTGAAGAATGTATTCTAGACTTGTTAACACTGGGACATAATCTTGTGAAGTAAAACATTGCTTTAAATACACCATGATCAAAAAAAAAATTGAGTGGCTGCTTAGGTCTTATCCACAGTATGATCTTATCCACCATGAGACAGCAAACAGGAAACAATACTTGTAAAATCCTTGTTCTAGTGTAAAAATGATGCAGTGACATCTGTACATGTGCTGCCAAGGACAACCTAGCTACATAACTGCCTTACTCTATGCACAGTAAGCATCTCATCTCCTTTCCTATCCTCTCCTTACTCAACTTCCATTCCAGACCTAAGAAAAACCTGGCAGTGCAAAAATATATTGGAATTTTAGGAACAAAGCTTCTTCACCACCAATTAACCTATACTGCAAATTTTTAATCTCAAATTCACATTGAGTTTGTTTTATAATGTAGGTGAAACTTCAGAATAGCTCTCACTTTGCCTAAACCATACAGACTTAATCTATTAAAGCCCACAGCCCACTTGCATAAACTAAATAACAAAAATATCCTTGAAATGCTGAGTCTAAAACAAGTCCCCTTCAGATCATGCAGTCCGTTGCTATTTGTAAAATTGTAAAAAGTCATTTGAAACAGCAATCGTGTTTTACCACAATCCAAAGCATTCATATATGTTTCTTTCAGCATAATTTAAGAAAAATAAATTACTTGTGTGACTGTCTGGCCTTTCTGAAGGATAAATAAAATTCAACTGGAGCTATTAGGAGCCTCTGTCTAGTATGTAGTCAGGGGTTACTGGGGGAGGTAGGTTGACAAACTAAAAAGGAGGACAATGAAGGAGCGGAAAGAGGGGAAGCTGGCAAGCTGGAGCAAAGAACATTGATTAATGAACAAAAAACATTTTTGAAAGGTCGGGTGTGCAAGTCAGACTAGCCCTGAGGCAGATCTAACTTACATGACCAGCACTTTCTGTACGCAGCAGGTAACCCACGCTGACACCAACTTTGCCGACATGACAGGGTTATTATTTTTGGAAGGATGTAGTGTTCTGGAACAATTTCTCTAATATATTAGTTAAAATTAGGCTTTCCTTCAATATCAAGCATGCATGTCTTCATTTTCACCATGTTTACACTGAACTCCTATTATTATTCTGGCCAGTGGAAACAAAAGCATATTCTTCATTTATGAGCACTTCTATTTCTCACACCATAATATATCCCAGGGCAGCAGTGCTGAATGTAAGTTTCTGTTCAAACCCAGATGCTCACATCCAGTTCACCACTCAGACCTCACTACTTACCCTAAGTCTTGTGGTAGATGCTAACCATTTGAAGCCCAAAATTTGCCTCATATCTCAGCACACACACTAAAGGTTTCTTTTCAAACATACTTTAAGGTTGTGAACCACTACCAAGGTGGAAGATCAGAAAGGCAGAGTCATCTACGGTACAACAAACCCTGTGTCTCCAAAATGAGCTGTTGGAGAGGGTTCTCTAAAACTGTGGCTTTTGCTGTACATCACTCAGTAATGAAGTCAATAGGTCATTGAATCCAACTCCTGTTCCTGTATTTTAAGGGAACTTGCCCAATTCCTGCACCCAGTTCACTAGTCTAAAAATGAAGTTTGGTGAAGATGCTAATTAAATGTACCCTGTGAAGTTCCAAGAGCATTTTGAAGCAAACCTGAAAGTGCAACACCTGCAAAGACCTAGAAGAAATGGGATGCTGAAAGTAAGAAGCAGGACATGCTAGAATCATTCAGTCCTAGTGCCAAGTCTTCTTCTTTCAAGACAATACTTCAAGGCAAACAACCCAGATGTGTGCATCCTGCTTAGGAGGGCATCACAGTAATCAGTGATTTCTCTGACAGATGTGTGGATTTGTTTTAACATCATGTGAAAATCCCATTCGCAGTTTCCCTCTCTATATATGCATTTCCTTTTGCACCAATAGCTGTATCTACAGACACTGCTCATTATCCATTACAGGTGAAAAAGAATTAAAAAGCAGAAAATGTGACTTAGCAGCACTTTATGTATAACAAACCCAACATCTGAAATTACCTATCTGCAAGTAACTGAAGGCATCAGTGCCACACATAAAAGTTGCTTTATCTGAAAGTTCTTTGGGATAGGAGCTGTCTGTCTTTCCTGTATGTACACAACAGAATATGTGGAGGAGGAAATCTACCATTCAGGTCATACCATAAAATAAACTACTGAAAACAGAAAAGACTCCTCGTTATACCAATGCCTCATAACATGCACAAAAAAAAAAATAATCACTCTGAGAGAGATGAAGATTGTTTTTTAAACTGTAAAGAAGATTTCAAGTGCCAGAAAGTTTGTCTGAGACCAATGTTCCAACCAGCATCAGGCATTAGCTCCAACAGTGAGCAACTGGCACACAACAATCCTGCCATGCACAGCATGCTTAGGCAGGAAAATATGTGTGCCTCAGTTGCAAAAGACAGAACAGAGCCTCAAGTGTTTGGGCTTCTTCCAAAATAATCCAAATGCTGCTTTTTTGGCAAGTGGGGGTCAATGGAGCTAAAAACTCACAGAAGGATTTGGGCATTCATGTGTTTATATACACCCACTCATTCATTTATTATTCTAAAGCTACTTTACAGAAATCAAATTACATAGCTGACAAGCTGCATAGATAAGAGAGAATAAAAGTAAAATTTAAAATTAGCTGACAACACTATATGATGTAGGATATGTTTGGCACCTTTAAAGTGAGTGATGAGGGTTAACCTAGGGGGGAAAATATTGTACCTTCCTAAATTGCACCTTAAATTATTAAATAAATTATTAACATGATGGAATGCATTAAATATATAAGCCTAAAGGAGAAAGGTGGATGTGTTTTAACTTTCAAAGCATAGACAGAATATTTATGAAGTGTTGCTTACTGTCTGGATACTTTGTCCAAAGTAGATTTCAGTGTTGTAGAAGTTTCCACCGTGACTAACAGGCCGTGTTGTCCTGGCCTGAGGCTGCTCCTCCAGTTCAGACCACTCCACCACAGCACCACCTAAGCAGCTGAGAACAGAAACTTTGAGAGTGTAGAGGCCTTTAGGGACCTTATCTTTGACTCCCCTCAGGCATCTGATGTGAATTTCTAGTGGCTGTGGCATCTTGGAGCAGTCAACCTAGGGAGAAGGTTCAGAGTTACTGATCTGGGCTGGGCTCACTTCAACCACACAATTAGCAAGGACAAATTTCTTCCAGAAAATAACTACTGAAAAGCAGACAACACGCTTCTTGTTCAGCCTGCAATTACCTACTGCTTACCAAGGATCTGCAATTAGGGAGGTCAAAAGTCATAGAGATGGCAGATAAAAGAAAAAACAATACAAATACTACTAATAAAATGTTCAGCATCCTTGGGGGGAAGGTGGAGCTGGTGACGTATGACACCAGAAGACACTACCCTACAATAATGAGGCAGAATTAACTGGAAAACAATACCTTCAAAAATACAGCATGCTTTTCAAGATCGGCACAATATATGATGTGATGAGCAAGCTGCAGGCACAGAGTGAAAGACAGGGCAGGCCATGTTTTTATACTAATTATTAGCCTTGCCAAAGCTATTAGTGCTGTGTAACATTCAGACTATCCTTTCACCTTCTGATTATCATAATCAGATTCTCTTAAAAATAGTAATCAAAGTGCAACACGTGTAGAGTTTAATAAAAACTCCCTACAGGCACCTTTATTCCAAGTCCAGACAAAAAGAAAACATCTGCCGCTTGCTGTTGACAAGATGTTGTCTGAGTTTCAGAATATTTAGTAAGTAAATGCTTTTCTGGTGCTTTCCTTCTATGCTGAGCTTCCCAGTATAGAGGTACAATGGCATGATCTTTACCCAGCTTTGCTTGAATAATGGCATAAGGTCTGTCCCACTGTATCAGAAGATATTTTGGTGCTGTCCAAATGCAATCTGCAGGGTCAGGCACACAACAGGGACTCCCAGTTTGGCTCCAGTGTCGATTTGAATGGATAAAACTCTTTCTGCCATAACTAATTATATAGTGCTTAAAATCAGCATAGTTGTTTCTCTTTTCCCCAATAAATCAATTTCTTGCATTATTTTGAGAAAAGACTAGTGCTAGGTCTTCTTTTAATGCAGCTGGATATCAGAACCCATGCCACATTTAGGAATCACATGGCTACCTTGACTACTAGGTTTAGTGGTCTCACAGTTTAAGCCTACAGTAGCTAATAATCTCTTCTTTAATCCTGTCTTGGATTTATTTTGGAAGAGATAGCATATTTCCATATAGATAGAAAGCTTCTGGAATTAAATTAAGCAGTTAAATAAACAGCTGAATTTGTTAAACTTCTTTTGTTTCTCCACACAAACCATACTTAACAACTAATCTGAATGACAATTATTTTCAGCTTAATTAGAAAATCTTAATTAACAATGAAGATTTAACCTTAATATTTTTGGTTTCTGAATCATATATAAAAAAATTAACATTATATGAATAAATAAGACAATCTTTTTAAACCTCAAGGCAGGATTACTGATGCAGGCAGCCTTCGTTATTAAACACATTCTAAATTAAACGCCTCTATGAATTTTATACTGAAATATATTGTGATAGTTTTGCATGCCAAATGTGACATTTTGTATTTTAGATTCATCTTCTGTAGTAACTTTGGAAATGTCATACAAACAAAGATTTTGTCATTTACCAATGGAATTACTATGCATGGCCGGTTAGCCATCTCTTTTCTGGCTCTTCTGGTTGTTTCAAGTCAGCAAGCCATAAAAAATCTTTATCTCTCTGAAACACAGCAATTTGGAAGATAATCGAATAGTGACTGGGGGGCAGAAACGCCAGTCTGAGGAATTATACCACAATCTCTCTTGCATTTACAACCTTCCTCAAAGCGAGTGTCAGTCGAGTAGGAAAAGGAGATAGAAGATTCATCATATTTCAAGCCTGTCTCATTTGCATGGTGGCATAGCTGTCTCATCTCCTGCTGAAAGACTTTGCTTGGCCAGCGCTGACAAACTGTTTTGAAGAACTCTTGCCATGCCCAAATGATTCATCATTAATAGCTTTAGACATTCTTTTAAAGCATATGGTTACTTTTGCTGGAAAGCATATTTTGAAACCTGCTAAATTCTATCCTCTTAAACTATGAAAATAGAAAAGCAAAACCAAAATATAATAATGGAATGCAATTGATCCAGTGATTTAGCAGTTTGTATCAGGGAAAAGAGCACTCATATAGAATCTCACCTTCCCACAAGGTCCTGCTGCTCCATTTAATCCAGTATTCACATCTCTAAGGTTACCAACACTGGCTGCCACTTTTTCTTCAATTCCACTCTGCTCTTTTTTCAGTAGCTGACTTCCCACTCTGCAGAGGTTAGAATGGGAAGAAGAATGGAAAAAAATTAACTACAATGAATAGACAGAAAGCACTTGCTGTTGGAAATACAACAGTGCGATGTTTTCCTTGCACATACCATAAGATGCACCCAGGAGAAACAAGAGTGTGCTAAAGCAGAGAAATAGCTAGACTTCAAAAAGCAGCATTTAAAATAATAATAATTAAAAAAAAAAAAACAAGACCAGTATTTGTAAGTTGGTGTCACAGGTCAACATAAGGAACCCCAGATTTCACTGCCTGTCTGTAATCGGCTCTGTCCAGCATTGGGACTTAGGATCCAGGTCAAGAATATTTCAGTAGGAAGCCATTGCTTCTGTCACCACTTTGAGAACTGACTGACAGCTTCAATAAACTTGGAAAGGTTTTTTGAAAACACTGATTCTTTGGGGCTTAGGTTGCTCTAAACCATTAAAAAATGAATTCTGTTTTAAAAAATGAATTATGTTTTTTGTTGGCTTTTTTTTTCCAAAAAAGTATTGTAATTTTATATCTTACATAATTTATAAATCTTCAGAATATATACAGGACAAGAGCTATATATACAAATTATATACATGCACATACACAAACTTTCAGGTGTATGTAAACCACAGAACCTTCCTTGTTATTCACATGTTCAGTTCTTTCATCTTTAAAGTGATTTGGGGGGTAATTTATATAAACTCAAATTTGTTAGGTTTTTGTTTCTGAAGAAAGGTCACTATGGCATCACAGAATATCAGTAAATTGTGCAAGAATAGCCCAACACGGGATAAACCAGTGCTGCCCTTAGTGCACAGGATACACAAAAGGCACAGTACCCTATGGAGAAAACCTCGTTCCTAGAACACAGCAGGAGCAAATGCAAAACTAAGTCATTTACAATGAGCACTATAAAGCTGCATGCTTTGGCAATCCCAACCCAACTTTCAACAGACACAGAACCATGAGTAATTCCTCTGTTCCTAAGTGTCATCAGCATCTAAATGTTATTGACCCAAAGTAAAAACATCTGTAGATGCTCTACTGGCTTCGAAACACATTAGCTCTTGCCTCCACAAAGTGCTTTAGGAGGCCAGGGAGAGTCAGTCAGTCACACCAGTGCTGGTGATATTCCAGCCACACTTGCAGGTGGAGCCAGGGCAGGCACAGACAAAGACATGGTGGCTCTCAGAAGGTGGAGGCTGAGCAGGCTGTTCATGGCTCTGGGCTGGTTCTGAGCCATGCTGGAGGTCAAGGGAATTCTCTGCAGCTTCCTAATAGGAGCCACATAGAGCCAAGGAAAAAACACTGCATCATGTGCACTGGCAATGTGGGATGCCTACAACACAGGCATCAGAGAATAGGCTGTCTTAGGCTCCCAAGCAACACACCCTGTTAAATCTTCAGCCACCAAAAAAGGAAAAAAAATACTATCACTTGGTGTTCAGTCAAAAAAAAAAAGAAGAATCAAGACTCAAAAGCAACCACATTTCTCTGGACTGCACTTCTGAAGCATTCCTTCAGTATTTTCTGACCAATGCCATCATTCCCACTTTCCTCCTTTGCAGGATAGGTGATTATATGAGATGTCTCCACATTTGTAAAGATTAACAGGTAACATGGTTCTTCATTAAGAAAATTAGGGTCATGCTAAACATCCCAGACTCATGCATTCATACTACTTATGTAACATATGGGCTCAAATTCTCCTCTTCTGAAACAGATGCTCCTGCCCCCAAGATCATAGGACATCGCTACAAATCAGTTTCTATTCAGACCTTGCCTATTTTTTTCTTTGGAATATGTACATATTTACATAAGTAGAATTACCACTGCTTCATAGTTAAACGGTTTTCCAGATTCGTCTACAGCAGAATTGTATCACATAAATTCCTAAGCAATAACTGAATCAGTTGGAAGGTCTGTGTGGATGCTAGTGGCAATGAAGCACATGGAAATATTGCCCAAGCCAGAACTGATGAGAAATAAGGACAAGATTCAAATGCTAAGAAGTGAATATGTGAAGCACAGGGTCAAACACCTTTGAAGTTTTATCCCTGAGCTTTAATCACATCAACTTGGGTCCAGCTGTCCTAAACAGAAGTATATCAAAAAACAATTCTTGAATGGCTCTAACTAATTCATAGATCTGAAACATCTGAGAAGTTAAAGCATTCGCAAGGAGAGAAGTTGTTTGGAACTTTGTATTTACTTAGCTTCTCATGATAGAAATTATTTCACTTAATTTGGTTAGAGTTGCATTGACACAGGGGTTCATTAGGACGCCCATTTGCTTGCAATTCAATTTAAAATTAAATACACTTTGTTGTTGATTTTATTACTTTTAAACTACTGTATCTATTGCCTTTATTAGCTGCTAATACACAATTATTAAGGTAAACAGTTTTCATTACTGAACATCAAACATTTAAATAACCACATTTGATCTCTTTCCTAGTTGCACCATTTTTGTCCTTTCTCCGGGTATTAGATTGAAGACAATAATTTATTTGGTGAAGTTAGGCCTCTTTTGTGCTCAGCAGCATGCTCATCAGCTGTCACAGCTGAACATGGCTTCCTTTGCTCTGTTCATGAGGGTTATTTATTTCATCTGTTCATTTCTTTACAGGTAATCCAATGCATGTATTTATCTGAATGTCATTGATCATAAAAACTTTGCTCCAATTCCTACCTCCTTCACTCTCTAAGACTAATTCAGAGGCAAGGATGAAGAATGCTGGGAGAAGCCATTTGGTCACCTTTTGAAGTGCACTGTGTGTAGCCCTTAAAAACTACAACCCAAGCTGGGTATCTGAAAACAGAGGTAATCCAAAACAGAGACCTCTTTCAAATGCACAGGCTTAATGTCTCTAGTCCTGAGGTCCTTTTTCTGAGAGAAGTTCCCTCCATTAATATCTGTAAAGAACTGAAAGACCTTTAGAAGGAAAGTACACTAGATAGAATTACAAAATAGCCCTTATCTGACGTACCTTTGAAAGAGTTCATGAATCCTGGCTCTCCACTTTTGCTTCTTGTGGTGAGAAGCTCCCTTATGCATTGAGTCCCACATGCCAAGAAGAAAAAGAAAAATCAGAATTTATTTCCAAGTGTACAGAAATACCATGGAAATAAAAGCTATAAACGTGCAATTTTCCAGAGGTTTGCCTTATGTCTTCTGGTTGAAGCTTTTCACAAGCAATAAGGAACTTTAGCCACCATTACTTTATTATGTTTTTTTTCCATTACTTTTTTTTTCCTGTGTGTTTTCCCACGTTTACTGCACTACTTCCAAGAGAAACTGAGCTCTCATCTTGTTTTAAAAGCTTTTTGGTACAACGTATATTTTTATACAGAAGTGTCCTACAGTCATTATTACAAGACCTAGTCAGACAGACATATGTAAGCATAGGTACATTCAAGTGTGTTTGCACACACACACTCAACAAAACAGCACACAATGCAGTTAGGCTGACCAGAGAACTCACATCTTAAAGCCTTGCTTTAAATGTGCTCCAAATCTTGATGTCTTTCTTGTCTCACCACAAAAGTTTTTAAATCTTTTGGTGAGAAGGACTGGCATTTTTGAAGGTTATGGTGTGTGGGAGGCTAACTCACATGAGCAGTCCTCTCCCCCAGCAGTTCTGCAGCTCTCCAGCATGAAGCTGGAGGGCTTGAAGTTATTTTTCTCTTGCACAGCAAGCTGGAAAAGTCTTTCCATCTAGAAGCTAGCATCAGCATGTATTAGGCTGTGTTCTCTGTGCAAAAACTCATAATAACTGCTGAGGGCTGTACACTCATGAAAACAAAATTCTTCCCCATGACCTGCACTGTTCAGAGATCTTGCTGAACATTCAAGGGCATTTCTCATGTCTGGATCTTCTACTGGGTGTCCTTGAGACCAACATAAAATGTGAATACAACACTACCAATACAGAATTTGAAAGCATCCTACTGTGTACCCTAGACTGTCATCCAAACATTGGGAAACTGTGTTCCACTTCTACTCTCATCAAGCCTCAAAGGCAAAAAGTCATTTTGGTAGGGAGACAATGCAACAGTCAGTGGAAAAAAACTCCCCATTGGGGCTCCATATCTGGCTGTTAAAGTCTCTCATTTCTTCCAAATCTTTTAATTTTTTGACAAATTTCTGGCTGTTTTCAAGGAAGCATGGAAATGTCTGTCGAAGACTAAGGCAAAGCATCCTACTTATTTCCAAAATGAAAATTGTCAGAGTGTAAAAACAGACAAAACCAACAAAAGCCTGTGCATGTAGCTTTTAATGTAACTTTTTTAACCCTGTAAAATTAAAGCAGAGACAACAAGGTTGCCTTAAAGAACAGTGGGATTTGTTGGCATTCCCAGCAGTTATCCTCAGATGGATGCAATAAATCCTCCAGGTCATCACATACAAACAATTACAAAGGTGGCATGGCAAAACTAGCTCAAAATGAGACCTTCCAGTTTTCCATATTGCAGTTGTGTCATGGGCAATGCTTCCTTCACCACTGCCCCTCCACTGGTGAGAACCATGCCCTCCTGCTCCTGGACAGCTTTTGGTTAAAATTTACTAGGACTCTCTAGCGCAGGACCCATTTCTCTCCCATCCCTACTGGCACTGATTTTCTTTCACCAGGCTGCTAAAGTACCACCTACCACTTCCCCAGGAAGGGCTGGGAGCTGGCTCTGCTCTGGAGTTCTGCTCCAGAAGAGCTGGTAGCTGTCTGGTTAGTCTCTGGTCTGTCAGAGCCACCTTGTGACACTTCCCACAGTCCAGCGGGCTGCAGTCAGCAGAGAACATGGCAAGAGGTTTCAAGTTTTGGGCAGAGGCAGTTAAAGCTAAAGTTCAGAAAGTTGGAGTAGTGTTTGGTTCACATTTTTTCTCCTGGACATAGCTCTTGGTGATGTCTGTGAAAGCTATTTCTGAAGTGAGTATTTAGATTAAGAAATAAGATGAAATAGTAAACTCACTAAATGTAAAATATCAAGTAGCCATAACATTGTAACAACATTCAGACATTACCACTCCAGATTTACACTGAGCCAGTACTAAAGTTTTCTTTAAAAAAAATTTATTTTATTACCAGACAGCTGTCCAATCCTCTTGTTTATCTTCCTATTCTTAATTAAACAACGAATATTCAAAAGAAAATATGAATCAGGCTTCTCTGTATGAACTGCACTGTTTTCCATCTCTGCTTCTAAAGTGGCAATGGGAATAAGATTTAAAACTATTTCTTCTGGACCCTAGTAAAATATTTGTCACAGTGTGTCATGATAATTTTTAAAAAGCTCTATCATCTACCTAATAAATTTGTTAAGTTTATTCAAATCTTATTGAACAGGAAAAGTGCAATGAGTCATGGTTAATATTTCTTTACCTATACTAAGAAAAAAAAATCAAAAATTCAGTGCTCAAGGTCCTATTCAGAAAACCTCTATGAGTCTGTAATACATCTTCTACATGATTAAAAAAACAGGAAACTTGCTTTAAAATGAATTATTCACCACCTTGAATAAATTTCCATCTTTCCTATTTGCAAAACCCCTAAGTCAGTTATGTAAATTTTAACCTACACTAATTACCTCAGGGGTGTGCAAGCTAAAGGAAAGTAGATGCAGTAGAAAAAAAAAAAAAATCCCAGACATTTCCATCACCAGGAAGCAATTTCATAGAGGAAAAAAATGTCTAAGTTTTCAAAAACAGAGCAGCCCACATACATTCTTTTTTTTTTTTTTTTTTTTTAATGTGGAATAGACATTTCTGCAATATCCCTTGAACTAGAGCTTTACTGGAATAAACCAAGTGCCTTTTCTCAATGGCATGTACCATGGCACACACAGCAAGGCACTTGCTTCTCATCATGACACCAGCATTGTCTAGACTGTGACAACGACCCATTGTTGACAATGGGCGTTCCCAAGGAGAAGGCATGAAATGTGGTTTAGCTTCAAGTCTCTATAGACATTGAGGACCCCTTCAGAAAATAAGTGGCTAAAATCTGCAAACTGCTGGTCCGGGAGGTACTGGGAAAAGTGGGGAGTTGTTTGAAGGCAGAAGGGCTCAATCACAGCACCACTTTGTCCTACTCCCCATCCTGACACCAGGCTCTGCTGTAGCTGTGAGCTCCTTCACACATCTCTCCTGGTTTCTTCATCAGCTATCTTAAGGTCTAATTACACAAATGGCCTATCTACTGATTTCAGAGTATGTTGTCAAGACCAGGGCTTGAAAAGGTCTTTCAGTCTGGGGTCAGCCTAGACACACACAATGGTGCACAAGAACCTGACTCAGCACTACTAATCAGTGCTGACTGGATATTTTCAGTGTCAAACTACTTCACAAATGGCAGGATCTGGTTGTACAGTACTTTTCAAAAAATTAGCAAAATTAAACAAAACCCCACTCAAACACATCCTTTCCTCTTGAAAGCAAGCCTACAAAATTCAGCAAAGCTTTGAAGCAAAATCAATTTGGCTTCTATTGTTCAGCAAAAATTGAGCATTTAGGGAAAACGTTTACACACACACCCTCTTTTTCGGTCAGTCCTAGTCTATTACAGCCTTCTGCTGAGGAGCTCTCCGCATTGCAATTTAAAACAGCCAGTGGACAACTGGCCTTGGTGAAAATCCTACTCCATACAAGGAGTGCTGTAGAGGTCCACCTTCCTGCATGTCTTCCTCACCAGGTCAGGGTGCAGCAGAGGCACAGCCTGTGGGGTCTCCAGCAGCATCCCACTGCCCACAGTGATCCTACATGCAGAGTTGGTGCTTCCCCTTCATTCCACCCCTTGAAATATCATGCTGGTACACCACAGTGCATGTAGTGCTGTCTTTTTCTAGGTTCAAACAGAAATCAAATTAAAATATTTTACATAGAATTTCCATCTCTGCATCCTAAAATATATTTCAGTGGCGGAAATCCTACCCACTCTATTTTTATGGATGGGAGAAGGGAGAGCTGACCAAGCAAAATGTCAGCAGGACTAGAAAGAAAACCCAGATCTCTAGTCCCATTGGTGCCACCTAGTTCTCCTCCTTCACAGTCTGGCTGCTGTGTGGAAATTAATTCCCAGTGATTTCAATACCTAATGCACTGTATACCACAAAACAAGTTAAAAGCTGAATAAACATTTGAGATGAACAAAAAAAATATTGCAAGAAAAGTTAACATTCTTTTCAGGCAAACTGAAATTCTGAGAGGCTTATCTGCTCCATGTTAACTGTAGAGAGAGATCACAGGGAAGGGAGGCATAGAGAGTTTAAATGAGTGCTCTTCATTGGAAGCAACATCTAAAGGGGCTGGATAAGAACTGTTCTGCAAATTGCACTACCTGCTGGAATTTGTGTGACCTTGATAAGGAGATGGCCACAAACCAGAAAGTTAAGTTGTGACAAACCCTGGACACATGGTAGTATTATTGATGGTGCACTCTGCCAAAAAATGCACCACAAACTTAGATGTTTTTCAAAGAGAAAGAGAAAAAGCAACAAAGCAAATCCTCCCTGACTTTCCTTTCAAAGAGAAAATTAATTTACTGTTCACAAGAATCAAATTAAAAACTTAGACAATTTAGTGTTTTGTAACAAAACTCAAACTCTGTTTTAAAACTGATACTGCAGAACACAAAGTGAGATTTGCTTTAGTCGTGCTACAGTCTTATTACACTGAGTGATACAGATACATTTAGTGACAACATTATAGGCTGAGCATTTTGATAAATCTGTAAAGCACTGCATCATTTCTAACATAGCAGTGAGGACTGAGCTACCAGTCAACAGAGGAAAGTAGTATTCTGCTATCAAGGCGAATGCTTTTAAAGGAATATATATCAAAGACACTAATTTTGAACAGATATGGAAACTAGATTCAGCTGTAAAGTAGGTGGGATAAACAAGGACCTGAATTTCCTCAAAACTCAGAGATGTTCTCATTCAGGATTTTGATCCAAGATGATAAGACTGACAAATTAAAAGAACTTGAATCACTTTGCTTAATATGCATTGAGAAAACTCTGGAGAAATGACTGCTGCAGAGCTACCCAACTTCCC